AATTATTATTTATCATTTCTACTTTTTACCGTTATTATTTAAATGTTCCTGTGACTTGTAACATTGATATCATTTAAATTGCTGATGTCATTCTCAAGGATCGAAAGCATAAGGCTCAAGAGATGGTAAAATAAGAATGTGCACAATTTTGATATTAAAACCAGTTTTTTTTCTTTTCGTTTTCAAATTTAGTAAATTAATTCTTTTTAATTAACAAATTTTCATGAATAAAAATTTACAGAAATTTAACCGTACGTTATTATAATGTTCAGATTTAAGAAATTAATTCCTACAATCAATAATTTTTCACAAATAAAAATGTTTTTGTTTTTTTTTCTTTACACAAAATGGAAAGTATTTATGAACAAACAAATTAACCGGATGTTTTCATAGCAAATAACACGGATATTTTTTTCCGGAAATCAGTATATCCGAAATGCAATGCTATAAGTAATGAATATTATATTGGTTTCATTTCTAATCTTAAATACGAGCAAAAATAATTATTCCTGTCTTCATGTAATTTTATTTTAAATTAATTTTTTAATTTCTACGATATTTGACATGATAATCGATAATTACTATGTGTTAATCAAATACTTAATAATTGTTTAATCAATTCTGTTCGATTTGCACTACAATGTCATTTTATCTTTGTAATTTCATCAATTTAAAACTGAAACAAAAAAAAAAATGCTGCTAACGGCATTAATTATCTCATTTCAAATTTAAACAAACTGAAGTAGTGTATGAGGAAATGCTTGAAGCAATTTGCGCAGCGCAATTTCCTGAAAACAATTTTACACATGATGATTATAATTCCGGTTACATTAGATTTATTCCGGATATTTCATGTCATTATACACGTGCAATCCCTCTCAAGAAAGATTTTGATTTAATTTCAGGATAATTACAAATTAAAATTTAAATTCTAGGGATAACAAACAGATTGCATATGTCTGCCGCTCCTTCACAAAGCAATGTTGACAATGAGTATGTTTGCCATTATTCAGCAGTTTGCAATATGAATATTAACAATTTTTTTTTTTCCGAGAAAAATGACCTTTAACCCTGAGTATAAACTCGCGACCCTTAACGTTGAGTATAAATCCGTAACCTTTAACCTTGAGTGTAAATTCGTGACCCTTAACTCTGAGTGTAAATTCGTGACCCTTAACTCTGAGTGTAAATTCGTGACCCTTAACCGTTAGTATAAATTCGCATGATAAGAATTATAAAACTTGTTGGGGAAATTTTGAAAATAACTCTAAATTCCAGGAAATGTTTAATTCTTTATTTGTACAATATTTACTTATTTCCTTTTTCATTTATTCATTTATTTCATCAATTCAAAAAAAAAAACAAATTAATTTCTATAATTTTTTCGTTTTCTCCCTTTTTTGATTTAATTAAAAAAAAAAAACAAAAAAACAAAAAAAGCAAAAATCCATTTTGAAATATTTTTTGAACAAATGCAATATGTCAATATAAACCAAAATTTACAATGAATTATTATTATTTGTTGTTAAATTTAACCATATTAAATTTAAATTTGATAAATTTTAATAAAAACGAAAAATTTTTCCTTTTTAAAATTTCAGTCATCGACATTCATTAACTGTTGAACCAATACATCCAATGCATTTGATTGCTTCCGGTAATATACATCGTCGATTTAGTACCCAAGCTGAAGCTGAATCACAAGCAAAATTAATTAAGAAATTTTCTGTAACATCGGTAAGTTATTATAAATTTTACTTATATTTTATCAAATAACATTTATATGAATTTAATCTTAATTAATTTTTGCAATAAAACATGATCTATTCCCAAAAGATTGAAATAAACTATAGTGATAATGTTATTGCATGTTAATGATCTTATGTGTTATCAGAAATGATTGATAATTTGATAATCTTTTTTATCTTATCAATATAGATCTTTTTTTCAGTAATAATACCAATAATATCAATAAATGAATTAAATGATATGGAAGTAATTGTTGATCACTTTTGAGAATAACAAATACGGTTATTTTAATCCGTAAGATAAGCTACAAATTGTAGGATTACGATAAATTTAAATAACAATAGAGTGAACCTTAACATCCTTAATAGAATATTATTATTTTAAAATATTATGAAGATAATTTACAGTATGTATCTTCTAATGTGGCATAAACTATTGTAAAAAATTTATTATTAAAAAATATTCTTTATCAATGTTAAAATATTTGTTATCAATATACAGTAAATTCATTATCAATATTTATCATTGTTTTAAAAGATATTACAATATTAAAAAAATATAACTTATAAAATTATCATGTAAAACAATATATCATTTGTAAAATCATCACGTAATGCAATATCACTTATGAAATTACCATCTATGAAATTATCACCTAAAACAATATCACTTGTAAAATTATCACGTAAAACAATATCACTTATAAAAATATTACGTATCAAAAATATCACGTTTAAAAATATCACGTCTAAAATAAATATCACGTATAAAAATGCTACGTGTATTATTATATTAAGAAAATAAATGTGAATATTTATTATTAAGGAAGAAAAAACTTCAAGCTTAATTAAAAATTTATAATTTGCAAATTTTTCACTTCAATTCAATTATTTTTGTAGGAGGAGCAGAAAGATGTGTATAGCGCAGCAGTTGCTGATAAACTGGAAGATCAGGAAGTGAATAATTTACGAAAGAAACAAAGTCAACAAATTAGAAATGATGAAGAAAAAGAATAATTTGAAAATTTATTAAATTAATTTCAAAAAAAAAAACTTTTTAATAGGGATAAAAAATATCAATGTATGGTGATATGATATGATTAAATGAATTGGTAATGTATTGTGTTATCACTTTTTTTTTCTTTTCCTTTCATATTTATGATCTCTTTTATTCTTTTTTTTCAAAACTTTCTTCATGATAATCTTTATCTTTTTATTTCTTCTTTACTTTATTTTTAATAATTTCAAATATTATTAATTATGCATTAAAGTTAATGATTTCCAATTTGGTCTATTTCATTTTGTTTATAATCAAAATAAAGTACACCTGCGTGTATATGTGTTTGTGTGTGTGTGTGTGTGTGTGTGTACGCGTGAAATTTTTAGACGTGGAAATTGAAGTACACTTTCCGTAGGTTGTCACGTTAAATTGGTACACATTTAGTTACAAAAAAAAATGTATTGCATAGGAGAAATATAAACGTTATCATACGTGATCACGTAGAATTTTACCTCATAAAAAGTTGGTGTATTAAAATGAAAAGTATGAAAATAGACGGGATTATACGTAGTGGCGTGTAATTAATCCAAAAAAAAAAACTTTTAGATCCTTCAATATTGAAACTCAGAATCAGGAAATGATTATGCAGAGAAATTATTAAATAAGATAATTTTTGGAAATAAAATTTATCTCCCGGTAGTTACCCGTGGGTACGAGGAAAATAATCAGATTGTATGATATCGTAATAATCATCTTTCCTTCTGAAAATATGTTCATTGATTAAAGAACAATTATCATGTAAATTTATTAATAGAGAAATAATTCATGATTGGAATAATAAATGGATAGAAGAATGCTATGCTATCCAGGAATTAATACAATTATACAGATGACCTGAAATGTAACAAAATCATCGATTCCATGAAGTTATGTTATATGAAAACATCCAGTTTGTTATATATAATATAGCTATTTACCTTTTCTAGACTGAATGCGACACATACCTGAAACAAATGTTCTTTGCATTTGTCACCTTCACGTGCAACTTTTCATTTTCGTAACTTATTAGATCATAGACCAATCCTTCTAACAATTTTTAGCTATTTATCAATTTTGAGCATAATCTTTTGTATGAATCAAATTCACTAATTACTACTGGCTAATTTAATTATCTAATCATTACTGGTTCAAAGTTTACCTTTAAGAATTTTTTCTTTCCCAAATAATCATTTTCCTATTTAAATCAATTTAGAATTGATTGAAATAAGCTATTATTGAAATGATTATTGCTGAAATTGATAATTGTCAACATTTTATCACTTCATTTCATCCAACCTCGAAATCCTACTTTATGCATATTCCTGAATTCCGTTTTTGGCGAACATTGAACTGATAATGTTTGATTTCGGAAAATAGATCTGCTTATCTTTAAACGTAAATTTACTAAAGGTTTTTTTTTCTCTGAAACTGATAAACTTATCATTTGGCCAAATTTTAATTGTTTTTAAATGATTAAAAGATTTGGCTACATGGTTTTCATTTTTTTTAACACTTAAATAGGTTGAAGTTTTTTTGCTTTTATTTATCTTTCAAAACAAACAATTGTTATTCTAATATCAAATCAAATCATAATTGACTCAATATCAATTAAATTTCAATATTGAATTATATTAATTATTCCGATATTAAATTAAATACAAACACATAATTTACTCGCTTTTTATTCGATAAATGAAACTATTAAAATAATTCAACACTTAACGGAAAATTTTTTTCGAAATGACAATATCATCTGAGGATGAAATTAATTAGACTATGTTATCGCTCAATAACAGCTGTGACATATTTCAATCAGTTGTTTTCGTCTCGCTTCTTTCATCTCATTTAATCATTAGTTAAAAAATCCCGATCTCGATCCCGATCCCGATCCCGTTCTCAATCTCGATTGCAATTTCCTTCCTATCCTCCTTCATTCACATTTCATCAAATCTGTTAACTATTATTGTTGTTTTCTTCGTTATCACTTAATTTATTATCAATAAAGACATATAATGATAATAATGAAATTAATCTTATGTGACAATTTGAATTATTTAAAAATACTTTTTTCCACTTTCTTTTGTAATTTCACCAATTTATTTGTTTTCTTTAATCTATCCTTTCATTTTCTTAGACTACCAAACTTACCAAATCAATCATTTTCACTGAAATTTTATTAAGGGTAGATTTTCTAATGAAATGTAATACATAGTAACTTTTTCTTTTTTAAATAAAATTTATCAAATTAATCTTTGATCTATGAAAATAAAATTAAAATTTTAAATTAACAAACCTTTTTGATATGGTTTTGATAGATTTTATGTGACTAAAATTTCATACAATATCAATCAAATGTCATTTATCGTATGGATAAAGCTTAGGATAAAGAAGATTTTCAAAATTTCTTCAGTTTATATTCTAAAAATGTTCACCTGGTATACTTCATTAATTTTATCATTTCTATTCATTGTTCATATTAATGCTATACGAAAGCAAGGTGTCGCGGTACGTGGACAATTAATGTGTGGTTCAGGACCAGCTATACAAACCAAAGTTCGTATTGTTGACATTGATACAGGTTTGTGCTGATAAAATATACATTAAATTATTTGAAAAGGATGTGACAATTATAATTCTTTTAACTGATCATATATGATATTATCATATGACCAAAATGTGAATAAATTTGTAAAGTATGAAATGAAATAACATCTTAATGAGACGTAAATAAAACTATTTTTTCTTTTTTTTGGCGCTGAATAAAATTACTTCTTCAAAAAGCTTTTTTGTTAATTAATTTTTATATTTGCAATTTATTTCTGTCAATTTTACAGTAACATTTAGGTCCTGATTCTGAATTTATTTCTGTTCATTTTACAGTAACATTTAGATCCTGATCCTGAATTTATTTCTGTTCATTTTACAGTAACATTTAGGTCCTGATCCTGATGATACGCTTGATGAGAAAACAATTGATGAAAATGGAAAATTTGAACTAAATGGAAGTACACGTGAATTAACGGATATTGATCCAGTGTTATACGTATGGACCGATTGTCAGGATGGATTAACGGTATCATCTTTTTTTAATAAATAACAATGATACGGTACTCTTTATCGTACTACAAAAAAAAAGGAATCCCCATGAAATATTACATACTGCTGTATTTTTATTGTATATTTCTTGCATATCAGTTATTACGGTATCATCTTTTGTATTAAATAACAGTGATACGGTACTCTTTATTGTACTGCAAGAAAAAAAAAGAAGGGATCCCCATAAATATTGCATATTGCTGTATTTTTATTATATATTTCTTGCATATCAGTTATTAGTTTATTAAAATGATAAAAGTTTTTGTTTATTTTAGCCATGTCAACGTAAAATAGCCTTTCATATACCGAAAAAATTTATCCATAACGGAGAACCAAAACCGGAACAATGGATTGATATTGGTATATTAAATTTGCAAGGACATTTTGAGGATGAAGGACGAGAATGTATATTTTAGTTGTGATTTTGTATTTGTATATTCCTATTTTTATCAATATCAAATTTCATTTCAATTATTGTATTATTTTCAGTTTTTTTTTCTTTTTTTTCCTTTTTTGTTAAACAAATTATGGATTAATTTAAATAATTAATTAATCAGAATACATATTATCCTTATCAGTGATATATGCATAACGTATTTTTAATGCTAAAATATATGGTGTGTACAAACACACATACACACACACACACAGACATACACATACACATACACACACACGCATACACACATCAAACTCTCACAACGATGAAATTAGGTAATCACTAGTTGTTCATTATTATTATGATATGCAAATGGTTTGCTGTGTTGATGGATTTTTTGAATTTAATTTCTTATTTTACAAATATGCAAATTTCAACTTTGAATCACATTTTAGTTACACAAATTTTAAATCGAAATAATAGTATCATAATTAATAATAATTTATAAACCTACAAAAATTTTACAACAGAATAGAATAAAAAATAAATATTGATTAAATTAAATCGATCCATGAATTAAAGTTAATCGATAAATTTCATATCACGACTTTCTTTTGGATACATTACCTGCAATGAAATTTTATTTCAACATATCGATAATTATAGCACAAAGAAATTATAAATTTCACGTAAATTACGAATTTCACGTAAATTATGAATTCTACATAAATTACGAATTTCACACAGGTTACGAATTTCACGTAAATTACGAATTTCACGTCCACAATATGGGAGAGATTTTCTACAATTTTACTACGAATTTCTTGATAAAATAAACTTAGTCTTGTTTTGTTAAAAAAGTAACTTGGATGTATTTTCTAGAAAAAAAGAGATAATGGTGAAGGGTAAATGGCTAGAATTTTCAAATGTAATTTCAGATTTCCTAATTTAAACAAAAAAAAAAACAAACTTATCCTTAATTTAAAACAAAAAAAAAGATGGAACCAAAATATTTGGTTATGGGATTTTTTTTTTTCCAGTCATCGTTTTTCTGTTTTCATTACGCATTCAAATTTTTCTCGCCTTATTTCGCTTTACCTAATCTAGCAGTTAATGGAAAAATCGAGAACAAGGTCAAAGGTTAAAAGTTATTAAAGGAAAAAATAACATAACAATATTGGAGTTGGTTCAAATGCTTAGATGTGGTTACAAATTAGTGCTGAGATTTTCCTAACTTAGATAAACGAATGGTTAAAATGATAAATTGCATATTTCGTTAGGATTTTCCTAAGTGAGTTCAAATGTTATTTCATTTGTTGACATGTCGCATAACTTGGGGATACTTGCTCGGTCAACAATTTGGGATGTTTTTAAAATAATTTGAATGGTGCTAAATAAAGCTTTAATGCAAATTGTGATAATGATGAATAATCAGTCGATCAAGCGGGATATTTGTTCTGATAGCATCATTATCAGACGGTTTGCAAACCTAATCAAAAATGTTGAATTTAACTATTCACTCATGATTTTATTCATTAAATGTTAAAAATAAATTTCAACAAATAAACAAACCTGTAAATTTAATTTACCAATATCGAATGGTTTCCTTGGTACACGACCAATTGTTACATATTCTTTCGGATAATTCATAGCAAATGTTCGATAACCAACCTATTTTGATCTTATCATTCAAATTTTAAGTTTTGTTTTTTTTCTTTTTTTTAAACATTAGCTTTACTCATTAGATAGAATAATTAAATTTTAAAATTTAGGGTTAAAATTATAAATTCAATTAGTTTGCACGTTTAAAGACATTGTTGGTTGAAATATATTTTAATGTTTGAATAAGATTGAAAATTTTTATCAAATCTTAGATATTTGTATGATTAATTTGTTAGTTTCTGGAAATTGAATTAAAAAGTTAATTTAAATTTTTACTAACTTAAAAACAGTATTATTCGGAAATTTTAAATTTCTTTGTAAAATTATTCAAACTAACTTTTTTAAGATCTTTTTTCAGGTCATCATCGCATCGATGATAAAATCTTATCATTGGCTCAATATCTTGCTCTGTTCGATCAACTGTATCACCTTTAATTTCAAAATGTCCATCTGATGTCGTTTGCTTGGTAGACAGAATTTCTCCAATATCTAAAAATTAATTTTTGGAAATTTTCATGCTTTCAAAGTTTTTACAAGATATATTTAATTAATTATAAATGATTAACAGCAATTAATTATAGCGAATACATGTATAGCATGAAAATCACTTTGAATCAAGTGCAAAATAATATCATAGCAAAGAAGGACTAATAATTATCTAAAAATTAAAATAATAATTACTTAAAAATTGAAATAATAATTTTTAAAAATGCTTGAATTTGATTTTTCAAACAGTAAAACGCTGTTTGAGCGGCTATTTCAAGCATTTTAAAATGATTATTTAATTAAATTTCCATTGAAAAATTCTCTTAACAATCGTTCCAAATTTTTTTTTCCCTTCAAGCTTGTTAGCCTTCAAGTTTGTTTTTTTCTTCAACCTTATTAGCTTCTAATTAACTACTTTTAAGTAATTATTTTATATAGATCAACAATAAAAGCAAATTAAACAAATTTCTGTTCGAATGATTTTCAAATTCCTTTTTAATTTCTCATTGAAAATATATTGAAATAATTATAGATAACAAATTTTAAATGTTTTAAAATTCTCATTAAATCTTTTCCTATGATATCACTTTTTTTTTTTTTTCATACCTAAGCATTTAACCTTAACTCTTCATATACTTCATATTTACTATACAAAATTTTCAACTGCTAATAAAAAATGACTTAATGTATGTTTCACATACCATTGCTTGCTTTCCGGAATAATCTTACTTTAACATCGGTAGCCGGAGTGGTACCACACAGTAAGATACCTTTAGCAGCTGTTGAACGTGTTGAAATTTTTTCAGCAAATTTTAATTGATCACCGTTAATTAAATGAAGAAATATTGATAAGATAAGGATTGATATCATCACCATCACCTGAAAATTACTGAAAAATATCAAAATGTTACTTATACTCTTATACCAAATGCAAATTATATTTCATTAAATAAAATTAAAACGATGGATCGATCAATGGGAAGAGATCAATTGAAGAAAGAAATTGAAAATTGAAGAAACTGTTTAAAAAACGAAAAAAAAAAGTTGAAATGAACAGATGCTAACAACTGATAACAATTGGTAATCATTTAAATCATTTATTATAAATATCCTTTCAACAATATACTCAATCATTTAAATCGACATTTTGCGCCCAATGTTTTTAAAACTTCGAAAAATCATTCGCTTATCCTTTCATCAACAAGTCCATCATTCTTTCTTTTTTTTAAGTTTCCAATTGTTCAATCCTAAATTTGGTCAAATACCGCTTATATAAAAATATTTCAATCAATAAGAAAACAGTATAAATGCTCAAATGTTAATTTAATTTGGGAAAATTTTCGAAAAGATTATTTTCTCTTTTTTTTTTTTTTGTTAGTTTGAAAAGTTACAAATGTGACAACATGAATATGTTGGAATAAAGATTTGATCATTTTATTGTCACTTTGTTTGATAGAAAATTTAGAGTGACGAAATTAGTTGACACGTCATTTTACGCCATTTGAATAAATTAAGAAATTAACATCAGAGATTGAAAATCTTTTGTAACTTCTTTTAACCTATATTAAATTTGAAATTAAAATCAGACAAAGAATTGTTTCAATTATTCATTCTTAATCTTTGAAAAGAATGATTTTATAAACAGGCCAAAATATTTCGTTGCTTTTTTTGGCCGAATGTTTCGGTCCACAGAAAAACATTTTAGCCAAAATATTTCATTGTTTCGTTTAGTTGAATGTTTTGGTCCATGCAAAGATGCCTTGGCCAAAGCATTTCACTGCTTTTTTTTGGCTATTTTTTTCGATAATTTAACATCCTAAAATTGTCATTTCCGATCTGTAATGCTTATAGGTATCAATTGAAAGCAAAAATCTTTTAAATTTTAGAGAAACAATCTTACGGTTAAGAGAATTTCGAATTTCACAAAATTTTACTTAGAAAAAAAAATAATAACATGAATAGATTAAATTGATTGTGTTAAAAAAACCGAGACATTTTTAAATGCTGCAAATATGTCAACTCTTGAGTTTCTTTAAAGGTCATCCTTACCCTAATATTGTAAAGGTCAACCATGCCACTGTATATTATTATAACTATTATATCATACTCCTTTGATTTTACAAGCCATTTTTTATATACATATCACTATTTATTACTTTAATAACTTTGTATGCCTTTATTTAAATGTTGTGAAGGTCATACATGTCCTTTTTTAAGGCTTGCAAAAGGTCACGCATCCAAAATAAAAGCTCTAACAACGAGAGGTCAATCACTCTTTACTTACGGATTAAAAATTCCTCAACTAGCAAACTATCAGCATGTAACAAAATCACTCAAGCTAAAGATCTGAACAAGAAACGATTATAAAAGGCTAATGAATTAAGCCGTATGCTACAATATATGAGCTAATTTAACCATTTCAGATTTAAATTATGAAATTTGATTGATTAAAGAAAGTGCAGTAATTAAGCACGAAAATATTGATAATTCAATTATTTATGTTAGGTACATATTCCACTCATTATTTAGGCTATCTAAATTAGCAGAAATTAAATTTTTAATTGTAAATGTTAATTTGAAAAAGATCGATAATCAAATACCACCATAACTGTAATATTTCATTACTATACTATCTATATTCTCTATTTAATTTGTCTACGGTCACATTTTGTGAATGTAAAATTTACATCATTATATCCCCCTAATTGATTAATTAATTAGTTAATTGTTTTGGACAGCAAAAAATGTTGTAATTGTTTTAGTACTGCAATTTTACATTTCGTTAATCTTTAACATCACATGATCTTCTTTCTCATATCATATCTTACGAACTTATCGATCTCTTTTTTTTTTTTTATTTTGTTCGATCTATCCTACACTTCGTTCTCATATCATATCTTATCGATCTCTACTGATAACTTATCTCTTTAATCATTTTTATCATCTGATATTACGGTATTATATCATTTAACGTATTCTGCTATTATACATCATTAGCTCCAAACTGGTATTGAATTGCTGAGCGAAAATTTCCTTATCAGTAGAAGAGATAGTAGATTATCAACTATCTATTGTAGTATAAATCGATGAATTATGCTATCCATCTAATTCCTGATACGCTAACCATCTTGTTTAACAAGTTCTTGTATACATTAGTAATAATTAGTCTTGCTTAATTAATGACTATGCAAAGAAACAATTATAATTGTAGTACTACACTTAAATATATTTACACGTCCCACTTTTAGCCTCAAAAAGAGCGCATACTGTTTAGATAGCATATGAATGATGTAATTCATAATTTGCATCTTTACAAAAGTAATTTTCAAATTAATTTTCAGATTGCAAAAATTCGAACAATGCAAAATATAGTTTATGAAATTTTAAATTTTAACTATCGAATTTTATTGGTTTTTTAAATTTTAGTAAAACTACTACCGTATTGGGCTGCCATCATAGTGCTCATTTACATAAATATATTTCAATATCTCGTGTAAAGGTACAAGGTGTTTTTGTGCTGTATCATTGGATCAATCACTTATAGCCAAAGTTTGTTTACGGTAATGTAATTTTTTCTTGTAATGTAATTACCTGATGGGATGCGTGGGTTGTATGCTATTGTCTTCCTTTCTTTTCCGTGTATTTCCTCTTTCTGGAACGAATCTCACTATAGCGGAATTATCAAAAACTGCATTTCCTTTTTCGAACCACACCTGTTTACTCTACTCTTGAATTCAAACAGTTCCCCTTTTAAATAAAATTTTGCGGATTTTTAAAGAGATTTCATGTGTAAATTACATTCTGGAATAACCATTTGTCTTCTGTCTAATTTACATGAAAATTGTCATTTTTTATTTTGGTACTATCATGAGTGCATGGGTTAAACACAAATCCTTACTCTTTTTAGCATTTTCGTGAATATCCGAAAGATCCCTGTAATTTAACACATATTTATTTGTGAAGTGTTTTTACCATTCGATGGCATATTAGTTCGTTTTTAGAAAATGAAGTAGTCATCTTATCGAATTTTGTATGTGCGAAAATTTATAGCTTAATGTCATTATAGGTGAATGGCAGGGGCAAACAGTTCAGATAATTTATGGGCAATTTCAGAAGGTCATCTGAAAAACCGTCAAAATTTTGTTGAAAAGGTTTGGAATTTTATTCTCTCTCAAATTTGACTGATTTCAAAAATAAATAATTCACAGTATTGAAAATGGCAAATATCGTGCATCACTAGGTTATAGTAGTATTCATCACAATTATTCTATTTAAAAAGAATTTATGTGAAGGATACGATTAAAAAGTGTTTGTTAAAAGAATTTCTAGTTCTTTTTTAGATTTTATTTTTAAAAATTGGTAAGAATTTTGCTGAAAATATCTTGTGTTGGTATATATATATATATATATATATATATATATATATATATATATATATATATATATATATATATATATATATA